TCCCGATAATACGACCGGTCATCTTACAATCCCTTCTTCGACCATATATATATATTCCACTCAGAGCGTGGAGTGACTGGAATTAGCTTAATTGAGGGATCGAGTTGGGAATTCGAGCAGACAGATTATTAAGAAAAAAGAATCGGGCATAAGTAATCGCGTGGACGAGTGTGGTGAGACAATGCCAGCTGCTTTTTCTCTCTCTGTCTTTCTTTCCTCGCTCTTTTCCCTTCCTATTTCCGCGCGAGTGTAACAAAGAATCACGACGACGAAAAATGATGGACGCGAGGGAACGAAGACCGCGAAGAAAGGAGGGAAATGGGACTGGGTCGGGTGAAATCTTTGATTAAAAGCGCGTTGGCCAAGATACTCTGAAGGAGAGAGAGAGAGAGAGAGAGAGAAAATCTCTCCTCGAAAGGCTTCAGAGACCCTGCGACCGCTTTTGATTATTGTTCGAGGTTGAATTCGTTCGATCGGTTTCGCGCGAATAATAATGTTTTATCCGTCGAATAATTTCAATGATAATCAACGTGAAACTTTCGAGTAGATCGAGTCGAGGCGGATTTGATAGTTAATAAACTCGTGAGATAGAGATAGAGAAAGAGAGAGAGTTATTTGGAAAATTGAAGAGGAATTTCGTTTCGAAGAAATTTAAGGATCGTTGAATATGGATTAAACTTCCATATTTCAAGTTTAGTTACTCGTTTGTCTTTCCGCATCCAATTCTCTCATTATCTCATCCTCGAAATTCGAACACGATAATCCTCTTTCGCGAGTTTCCTTCGATTCTTCTTTTTGAGAATCTATGGAACTATGCAACTTTGTTGTGTGTATGGTATATGCCTCGATGAATTTTATATTGGTGGCTCGTTGCAACGTGTTTTACGAGTTCTACTATTCTTTCTCTTCGTCCATGGAGAAACACATGACAATGAGTTGAGAAAAAGAAAGAGAATGGAGAAAGAAGAACGAGAAAAGAAAGGAGGAAGGGGGAGAAAAAAAAGAAATATAAAGAGAATTGTCAGAAAAAAAAGGAGGGGGGAAGTCTGAGCCATTACCACTTGACTCGAATTGCAAAGAACTCCTTCGTTACTCGGGATTCCACTTGACCCAGTAACGAAAGGTAACGATCCTCGATTCCTTGCTTCCAAGCCCGACCATCACGTTTTTCTTCGCGTTTATTCAATATCTCTCTCTACGATCCGTGGTACCGTGTATGACCCTACACATTGTGTATTATGTATAACGTGGAAAGCATGCCAGGATTGAATTCCGAGGTATCTCTGAGAACGGAAGAGCAGACGAGTAGGAATGTCGATGCTAATTTGGAAGAAATTTCGTCAAGAAATGATTTGTAAAAGATTTTCAAATTAATCCGATTCGGAGAGTATCTATTGTAAGATATTATGTTAGATTCAATTCCAGTTAAAATTTAGAGTTCCCAATATTATTAAAAGAAAATCGTAATATTTTAACCAGAAGTGAATATATTTATCGTATAATTTGATTCAAAATTTTAAACGAACCGTAACTTCGAAGATATTAACTTCCGGCCAACGAATGAAGGATCGTTAGAAGCGCGGAATCTTTCTCTTTAAAACGTTTTTCCAATCATCTCGATTAGATTTCCCGTTCCCGAGATATCGTCGTTTAAAGAAAGAGTAATTTTTAATCGTTTACTTTAAACCTGATTAAAATTGGGAAAAATTTAAACCACTATAACTTTAAAGACATTAACTTCCGGTCAACGAACGAAGATTCGTTAGAAGCTCATAATCTTCCTCTTTAAAACGCTTTCAGAATTATTTTGACACAACTCTCGATCCCCGAGATATCGTCGTTTAAAGGAAAAATTAATTTTTAATCTCTGTTTGCTATCTCTGTTCGTGTTGTTCACTCTTATTTGCATTGATCTATCTTAACTCCAGACAAGTGACAGATGCAATTCCTGGAAGGATGTAGTACGCATTTCCAAGAAAAAATGCACTCGAGCCCAAGTAGAAATTTTGAATCCTTATATCTCGCCAATCGATTGAGATATCGGGATGAACCAAAAAGCAATTTCACTGGCATAGTTTCCTCTATATTTTGATTGAGTTTTGGTGATTAAATTTTTCTTCTCATTTTTTTTTACAAACTCAAAGTTTGTTAGTGATGACTTCGAATAAATTTATGATAATAAAAATCTACGAACGAAAAACTGTTATTTGAATATCATATGTATATGACACAATATGAATATCTAATGTTTTTTTAGCAACTAATAAAATCAATATATATTATCATAACAAGTGAAAAAAAAAAGTGTAGATAGAATTATTCTAATCAATCACAACGGCCGTTAGTCGTCGTATTTTACCTTTATTTTCGACTCTCCCTCTTCGTTTTATTCGCTTTTCCGCGGAGCGATCGCGAGGTGAACAACCGCACGATGTTTGTCGATCGCGTCGCGAAAAATGGAGCGTGCAAAGCGTCGAACGGCAAACAGTGCCGCGTGACGTTTGCCGACAGCGTCACGAAAAATGGCACGTCCAAGTGTCAGTTATTTCGCGCGAAACTTTCGCGAAACACCAACGGGTGAAACGTATATCAGGGATTTCTCGTCTCGTCGAAGATTTCATTCGAAGCTACGAGTCACGTGTTCGAAGGTACGCAAATTCCCGTCTAAAAGAAAATAAATACGAAAATAAATAGTGAAAAAGATCTCAACATCTCCAGCAAAAAATATCGAATCGTACAAAATTATCGTAATCTTGAATTCTTCGCAAATCGATGTAACTTTGGCACCGAATCGAACATTTCTCGAGGAGGAACACAGGTGGTAGAGAAACTCTACTAAACCCGAATTCAGAGATGCAAAAAGGGAACAGAGATATACTACCCTATATACACATACGTATATTTCCAAGTTGCCGCGAAAACAAGAATTTCGTGCGTATATAGGGGTTCGAATTCGACGATGAAATTTCAGGTGAACGTCGCGCGACAGATGCCGAGCACAAAAGCCTCCGCGACAAAGGGAGCCGCAAACCGTCGTAGTTACCTCGAATCGAGGCGTAATTCGTCCGCAGGTAAGCAGCCGGGTGCAAATATCGATTCGTTGATGCTCATTCTTTTTTTCCTACGGCATGCCACCGTGCAGGACGAGACGAGACGAGGCGAGGCAAGGTCTGCCCGCTTCGTGTGTCTCCCTGCTCTCTTCCCTTTATACCTATTCCGTGGTCCGTTTCCGCTTCTGTTTTATGCAATTTTCCATCTCGGAGATTCGACGAGTATCTCCGCCGGGACCTCGAGGCATTAATTAATCCGTGGCAAGAGCGTGGAGAAGCGAGACGGCCGTCTCTGCCAAGTCTCTCGACAAATTGCCGGGGCCAGGGCCCGCGCGTCGCGCGATTAATTACCAAACGAAACAATGATCCACCCATCTGATCGAGTTTACAATACGAGAGAGACGGTATTTTGGTGGTTTCGATGGATGAGATGAACACAGATTGTTTTCGTGTACGAGGAGAAAAAGCAACGATGATCTTTTCTTTCTTCGATCTTAGGATTAATTGAAAAGATTCAAAATGCGCTTCGTTCGTTTTTTATATATTTTATAGTGGTTATGGAATAGGATATTTAAAGATGATTTTAGATTCCTTTTTAATAATTCATTACGTTATCGATGGTTTGGAGCACGTGTCGTTTCGAATGGTAAAAGGAAAGAGGAATAAAATCGTATTATATACGATCTGGTGTATAGGATAAAGATGTCGATTATGCTCTATTACGTGAAAATAATCCATCTTTCGCGGATGCAGATATCCATTTCGAAGAGTTTAAGAAAGTTATTAATCTCGGATTAATAACTTGGGTATAAGGTTATGATCAATTATTCGGATGCGAGGGTGTTTAATGAACGAGGGGGGAAATATTTATGGAAGGCTGTCGTGTCGGTTATCACGGAAGACATTGGGGGGGGAGGGAGGGGATTAAGTAGTGGTATGAAACGTTTATATAGACAGCCGTTGTAAAATAGAGCGATGTGTCAAGTGTTTAACGGGGAATCAATAAATCGAGAGTTTGAAATTCCCAGGGGATGAGGGGATGAATTGATCCGGGAGCAACCCCTTCTTTGAGGAAATACACAGAATTACATTAATATGCAACAGCTGGTTTGAAGTAATTTAAGCCGCAGAAAGCAGTTTGCATACCAATTCTCGGCGCGCAAAACGGGTTATCCGTACCCTAAATTTGCGTAACGTGTATCCACGAGGAAAATGAAAAATATCGATGCCTCGTACATTATTATTATCTTCCAAAGTTTTTTAACATCCGACTTTTTAACACCCGTAAATATTTTTATTCGTATATACGCGAAAAAAACTTTTTTTTTTTTTTTCCAAATTTCAACTCGTTCGCGAAAATTACATCCCTATTGTTTCAAACGA